CCCCAAAACCCCAAAACCCCAAAACCCCAAGGAAGGCGGGTTTAGTTGACAATAAAATATAAGGTATAACATGGCAGTGTACACCTTAGTTGTGCTGCTAACTCTTGTGTCCTTTGGACTAGCCAATGTATGTGCTGATAGTTCTGAGAGCATCAGGGCTCCACTTAGTTCAGAGATGGATATTTCAACTGCTTCAACTTCCTACTTTTACAAAGTTTATGGGGACCAGACTGAGACGCACTTTTATTTTGTAGGTGAATATACTATCTCTTCTAATGAGAGGACTATTGTTCATAAGACATCCCAGGAGATGACGGGAATTAGTACGAAAACTTTTGATATCGATATTTACACTTGGTCGATAACCGCTAACACTGAAAGAACGTTTATTTATTTTCAAGAAGTGTCCTCACAAAGAATTTATGAGGTCAGAATGACAGACCTTGAGGTGACTAGAAGGTTTGATATTTCAGGAAATTTTAATCATTTCAGGTAAGCTTATGACGATAAATTTTAGGAACAAAATGATAGTCGATACTCACATGTACTTCAGTGCAAGAGCTTCCTCTCTTGGGAATGTCTGAAGATGGATAAATACCACAACAATACTTGAGTGAATATCCTTCAGTAGTAACGATCTCGAGAATTTTGCTCTTATTGATACAGACTCTATCTTCTTGGGAGTTGTAGGGACTTCGAACTCTCATTTCTACCTACTGAGAAGTAGCTTCTCAGATCCTTCAACTTATGCATGGAGTAAGATTATTAACTGCCCAGGAGGAACAGGATGCGTAAAAGGTGGAGGAGACTCGATATTAAGCAAAGATGGGAAGTACATTCACACCATCATCCAATATGATTCTAAGCTTATCTTTCATACATTATCAGCGAACAATGGTGATCCACAACATTCTGGCCTAATCGAGAATGATGGATCTATAAACGCTAGAGAGATTGTAGAAACGAGCCAATATATATTAATTACAGTAGAATATTTTGGACCATCAAGGACCAAACTATTCTTGATAAACTCGACTTCTCATCAAGTTCATTTGGAGTTCACTCACTCTGGATACAAAGTATTTTCTGCTTACCCAACTTCTATTAACGACCAAGAATATGTATTTTTAACAGGAATGAAAACGAGCTCATCAATAACTTATAGCATGAGATCTCATATTGAAGAAATTGGTCGGATAACTGAAATGACTGCTGTTTCTACAACATTTGCTATAAATAGTGCTAGCACTGATTATCAAATTCAAGATGTTTCAAGTCTTCCATCTCTTACAAGCAGAACAAAATCTATTTCTAATGTTACTAATCCTTCTGTGATAACTAATGATGTAACAAGTTTATTCTCTCCTTCGTTCAAATATGCAGTGTCTGTTTGGAATGATAAACATATCCAGTCTGTGCAAAGTAATGCTCTTGTCTATCTCAGTTTTACTTGGGCTTGCTATCATTCTTCAAATGTTACAGCAATCTCTTTCAGTCTGAACCAAACTGGTAGTGACAACATTCCTGACTGGGTCACTCTTGATGCCAACAACCAGCAATTGTATTTGAATGTTACTCCCACAGTAGTTGAAGACACTGTGTACAAGTTTTCACTGTTGATTCAATTTAATTCTGAGCAACACTACAAAGAGTTCGAGATCATAGTGGAGGCCTGCCTTGTTGACAACTGTGATCAATGCAAGCTAAGAGAGTCAGACCAGTGTAAAACTTGCAGTTCAGGGCATTCAGCCTCTAGTGACTTGAAGAAATGAATTAATACAGAAGTTGCAGAAGGAACCGTAGAAACTGCTCAAGCGATGATTTTAGGAGGAATGGTCTTATCATCTGGTTGATCATTGGTTTCTTTCTCATCTGCCTCAGGAATGTTTAGTATGGTCAATAGTTTTCAGCTGTTAATTCTACTCCCCCTGATACCTCAGTACTTCTCTGAGAAAGTGATAAACTTTCTATCTGGAATGAGCTTTACTATGTTTTCATTTGACTTTATCGACTTAAATGAAATTCCATTTGTTGAATATCTTACCAGCTGGATATCATTACCTCAAACTGATGACTACCTGGACACTCTTGGACTTGGATCTGGCAGCTCTATCATAAACTTTTTGCCGCTGATTATTGTGCTATTGCTACTCGGTGCCGCTCATACTCTTCTTGCTATTGCTTATGGGTTCAATAAGAAAAAGAAGAAGAGAAGCAAAGTGCGAAAAGTTCTTACAAAATTCTTCGTGTATTTCACATTTAATATTTATATCAGGAACTTTATTGAAGGGTTCTTGTTTGTACTTCTGTCAGTCTCTTCAGAGATCTACGCTATGAATTTATCATCTACTGTGGCAAAGGTGTCTTTTGGGATTTGAATGTTTCTTTGAGTCTGCTTAATCGTGTTTTATTTTATGAGCTTTGTTATGTATAAGGCATGATTTTCTGAAATAAATCGATCTAAATATTGGTATTCCACAGAGTTTTTTTCAGGAATCAGAGATGCAAAAGCAGCTAAGTTGTATTGCATAATGTTCCTTACCTTGAGAATTTTTATTGTAAGTGTCATAATTCCTGCTCAAGAACTGGCTTCGGTTTATAAAGCAATCCTGTTTATTATTCCAAATCTATGCTACGCAGTGTTCTTATGCCTGGTTAGGCCTCTTCAAGAGATAAAAGACAACATCATTGAGGGAATAAACCAAGTAATCTTCTGAGCCCTCTGCGTCCCTCTCCTATGGCTAGATACTGAGAACGACTGGAACTCGACTTACGAACAATTCTACATCACCACTGCTATGTGTAGTTTATCCGTTGGATCTCTCATCACTTTAATATCTCTACTATTATCGCTCTTCTTCAAATTTTGCAAGAAGTCAAACAAGGGCACCAAAGTAGAGGCATTCAAGAGCGTAGGCCAAGTCCTGCCCAAAGAAGGTAAGCTTACTACTAACCTACTAGAATCCAAGAGTGCCCTAAAGTCTGAGGTCTCTGGGAAATCAAATGCGAACTTCAATGATTGTAAGTCTGGCACTTCTTCAACTCTTAAAAGTCTTAAGGAGCGATCTGGATGGTAGCTTAGTGACTCTGCTAGCTTACAGCTGCTTCTTCTGAGCTCGCTGCTCATAAGTTTTAAATATTTTGGTATAGATAGGAGCAGAGATGAGCAAGCAAGTGGACTTCAGAAATTGTAAAGAGTTAGGTGAAATTGGATTTTCAGTTATTGAATCTTGGAGTGGGGTTTTGGGGTTTTGGGGTTTTGGGG